CTTTCTATTCATCAAAGAATCCTTAAATATTGATAATAATAATATTAATCATCAGAAATGTTTCTCGAGCAGCAAAGCAGCATATTATACTGATTTCTGAAGATCATGTGACACTGAAGACTGGAGTAATGATGCTGAAAATACAGCTTTGTTTAGATAATAATTTACCTCATATACCTACTCTCATGTAACTGGACACCAAAATTGTACTTATTTAATTATGGGAGGGGCCTTATCTGTGCCTCTGTGTATTAAAATGATAGTACTCTTTTGCATTATTATTCTGAAGCACTGTAATTCTGTTCAAGCTGCAGTTTCTCACCTCGTATCTGTGAGGACTTCATTTTTACTGCATATGGTGTGGAACGGTGTTTAATGGTAAGAAGTGTTAACGTACAGTATAATGAATGTTTGAGCAGATACATAAATGATAAATAAACTGTTCTTCAACAGATGAGGAGGATCTGAGCTCAAACTGTCCTGGAGACACAGCAGCAGATCCTGACGACTAGAGCCACCTGGAATAATCTGGAACACTTCTTTTTCATTTGCTTTTGATGTTTTTGCATAGCTGTGTTTAATATTTAGTTTTCATATTCGTTCATTAAATGATTTTTTGATTATAATTGTGTGGTTTTATATCAGTGTTGACCCTGATGCATCACTTAAATGGTTCTGTGTGTGTAACTTAATCTCGGCCAATCGCAAACATTGTGATTGCATAGTTATTAATTTAATTATTATTTATTTATGATTAATTCATTGTTGACTGTGTGAAAATACCGTGATTTTTGTAGATGACCAACAATTCATTATTCCAAGTCTAAAACAAATATAAATATTAAAAAAGTGGTTTTGTACGTGACACCTCTAGGTATTAACATTTCCTTGTGGTTTTATAGTTATGTTTGATATTTATAGCATAGTTTTAGGCATTTAGATCAAACGAATGATATTTTGTTGATTTATCTGTTACTTGCCAGATTTCATATTTACAGATGAAAAAAACAACAACATAAATTCGTATTTATATTACTATACCTGGTCATTTATGTCTCAATCTAAGTAGCTGGGAATACATAGTTCTTTGTCTCCTGCAGTTAAAAAGATGTCAATTTTTAGGTGGGCGTGGCCTAGCAACACGCTTGGGCTTTGATTGGCCAATACAATGTTTGGCGATGACGTTGTATTCCGGAAATCGAAACTTATCGATCTGAACGATACGAAGAACTGAAAGCGAGCTCGTGTCTGTGATCGATGTCGGTGTGAGCTGACACTGTCAGTACCGTGTTAAATTGATTAATAAACACGGTAATGCGTCTTTTAATGGTCGTCCGCTGAAGATATGACGCTCTGCGTGGCGCTCACGTGCTGATCAACTTCTGTCACTGTTATTTTTAGTTCATTTATTAACTGTGCAATGGAGTCTCTGTCGGGGAACTATATTTCTCAGCTGAACGAGTACCAGCAGAAGACCCAGTGCAGCGTGGAGTATGAGGAGGGGTCCACAGAGGGACCGAGTCACAACAAAACGTGTGGAGCTAGCTTTCATTCATTATATGTGCAGTAGAACTGAGTGAAGTCTGCTGACGGACAGTTTCTGAGCTGTTGTGATACAAAGTCAATTACTATTGGTATAAAATCATTATTGTTGACTTGTTTCTAATGAAATCTGTGTTCTCAGGTTCTCTATGAGGGCTGTAGTTGATGGGCAGCGGTATCCTGAGGGCACTGGGAAATCCAAGAAAGAGGCAAAGCTAAATGCGGCCAAGAACGCATATGATGGCATAAAAAACACTCCAAATACTGAACCTGTAAGTACTAATATGTTGTATATATTTACAGATATGTTATATATATTTACAAAAATATTATTTACTTACTAAACAATCTATTATTTACACACTGTGTGTGTGTGTGTGTGTGTGTGTGTGTGTG